TTTGTCCACCGTATCATTGCCAGTGGCACTAGCATTGTTAATCATTTATTGAGTGCCTATGGTATGCTTTGTATATAGAGTATGAATTAAAAAAATAATCTGTCTTCAAGTTGATTACATTCTAGAGGAAAGAAAATTGATTTGACAGATTAGAGAAACAGAATAGAGAAGAACCCATGACATGGTATAGGATACAATTTAAGCTATAAGATATTGGAGGTCAAAGGTTAGTAAACAGTCCTTTCTACTTCTGCATGAGATTCTAACCTTCAGTTGACTTTCTGGCTCTTTTTCCCTGGAAGCCTTATAAAGTAGTCTCTTAGGTTGGGTTTCCCAGATAACAGATTTTGAAATGGAAGTTTGCATGTGGGAAGTTTGTTGAGAGTTTTCTTGTGATCAGCACCTGTAGGGGAGTAAAAAATATAGAATTCAGTAGGAGTGGAACTGTAATGTAGTCACAACAAAGGCCTCAGCAAACCCCATGGTGATCTCTAGATTTGGGGTGACTTTTCAGAGATGTCCTGCCTTAGGCAAGGGTCTAGTGGTGGGATTGTAATCTGAAGCAACATAGATTTCTTTGGCTGAGGACAATTCCTAGAGAGTGTGTCAGCTAAGGCAGTCTGCCGCCAACATTCCCACAGCTCAGGAAATGAGTGCCTTATAACCGAAAGGATTCTGGGCAGCACACCATAGCATCCACTCTAAGCGGATGATTGCTAGGCAACATTGCCTATGGTAGAAAATGACCCCTAATCGGTAAACCGCATCAGGATTAGCAGGAATTAGAATGTACTGTAAATACCATAGCTTCGCTCTTCCGTGAGAGTAGTGATTCTTGTAATTGGACTTGTCTCTTATGGGAAGGGATCTTGAAAGCCATGCCTGTGGAGTTCTTTCAAGAGATATTGGCTTCTATGGAGTATAATATTTTTAAACCAGGATAACTCTTGCATTTGCCCAAGGTGAGTCTGATTCCCTCATGCCTGAATTAACACCCTGTGGACCAAAGATAGTAACTCCCAGAAGGCTGTGTGGGCTGCTGCAAGAACTGCTGTGAGGATCCCACTAAAAAGGAACGTCTGGTGCTGCTGTGCTGGCAATCTTGATTCCTGCCCTCTTTTTGAGTAAATGGATGTCTAGGGTGGCCCAACAAACTCATAGTCATGTGACTTGGACAGTTTAGTTGTATATATATAAAAGACCCCCTTATGGATATTGTAGACATTTTTTTCAATGTTTTCACTTTTTGGAATGTCTGGCTTTAATGTCTAAAACTAAAGAATAATTTGATAACCTTAAAGTCAGGCTGAAGATATTTAAGTATTTGAGGCACATGGAAAAATTGAGGTTTCTCTTTCCTTCTGCTGAAAGGCTACTATTAACAGATATTGTTTCCTTGGACTGTGGAGGAAAAGACTCAGCTATAGTACTAATCTCTGTAAACAGTAGTCTTTTTCTTTAAACAGTAGAAAGAACTGTTGGTTCTTAGCTCTCCTTTAGTCATAGATAGGCCATTTGGACCTGGCTAGCAGTTTCCCTCATATCTATGATTCACAAAATTTTGTTCATTCTTCCTTTATGATTCATTCTATCCCTTCCTTTGTGTTCACTCTGCTACCACCCAGAGGAGTATTGTAGTCTGTATCATCTCAGATGTGGATTACTGAACTGGTCTCTGCCTTTAGGCTTTGCCTAATCTGAGCTGCCATACCCATATGATCCCATACTGAATTCCATAGTAGAGTTTTGCCTAGGGTTTTCAGACTATGTATGTGTGATACAGATTTGCCTGGAGCACAAGGTCTCTGGGAATAGTGAGAGGAAAGACTACAAGGGTAGGTTTACAGAAAATGTTGGCTAAAGATTTCCAGTTATTTTGTAGGCAAAGGGAGCCATTTCAGTAAATGACATTTTTAGCAGGAGAGTGGCTTAATAAGAGTAGGGCTTCAGAAAGATTTTGATCTGGCAACACAGTAAAGGGAAAGACTAGAAGAAATGAGACTAGTTAGGAGTCTATTGTAAGCAGACCTAAACTGATGTGGGAATGGAAAGAATGAGACAGATAGGATCCTCACAGTATAAAGGAAGAACTGGTGACTGTGAGAAGATAGCAAGGAGAACCTCACTGAGGTCAGATAGTATGGATTTGTAATGGGCCCATTGGACTTGGTGCCAAGATAGTCCAATAGGACTCTTGGTATCAGACAGTCCAACAGTCCATAGGGAAAGTAATACTCCTCACACACTGCTGCTTCATAATACCCCTGTGAAATTTCAAACCTATTAAAAGCCAGGATCATAGCATACTTCTTATCATACTTCTACTTCCAGCACAAGGCTTAATGTAGACAGAATGATCTATGTATATTTATCCTGTCCATATGTAGAATATTTAGGACCATTACAGGTATTTCAGATGGTTAGTTCTGCCAACTATTAATAGGTGGAATCTCTGTTAAGTTTCTCTCTATTTTGTTTTTTATTTCTTTCATTCTAAGATATAAGTAGAGTGACCAGGTGTCCAAGTTTTTGCTGGATAGTCCCAATTTAGACCTGTTCTCCCAGTACAGTTACTAATAATATCTTTCTTCACTCTCAAAAGTATGCACAATACATTCTGTGGTCACTCTAGATATATCTACAGAAAAGTGCTAAGTATATTTGGTCAGTTTAAAGAATAACTATAAAGAATACACTTGTGTAACTACCACCCCAGTTAAGAAATGGAACACTGGCAGCCACTAGAAATCTATTTCCTACTCACAACTTCATCTTCCTTCCTCAGAGTTAACACTACCCTCATTCTTATCATGACATTTTCCTACTTTTTAAATCAACGAAAGCTAAATTATCAAAGCCTAAAATCTATCCAAGAGTTTCCTTCCAATTGTTTTACTCATTATATATATTTTTGGTCTGAGTAATTTCATATTACTAATAGACATCCTTGAAAGTCTATTTGTGTTTTAGTATATGACTACAAGGTGGTTGTAGGTAATCAACCTGAAGATGAATGTTGTGTTTTTATTATTCACACAACTCTTGGCCTCAAGACTTTGATAATCTAACTAGTAATTACAATACAAATCCTTCAGTGCAGTAATGGGAAGCATGCACATGTTGTTAGAGGACATTACCTAGCCCTTGGGGGTGATAAGGAAGAACACTTCTTAGAGGAGGTGATCTCTCATTTGAGTACTGAGGACAAGTAGGGATTATGCAGGTGAAGGTGATGTGGGAAGTGAGGACAGAGCACAAAGGTCACTTTCTTGACAAATGAAAGGATCCATAGATAAGAAAAGCATGGCACAGTTTTGATACTGCGAGTTGCTCCCTATAGCTAGAACACAGAGAATATTCTCTGTGGTCTCTTAAGGAGGAAAGGGATGTGTTTTGAGTCAAAGTAGTTTGCAAAGCAATGGTGAGAGATAGAGTTCAAGAGATAGAACAAAGCTAGATCATGAAGGGCCTTGAATGTCATACTGAGGAGTTTGAACTTCGTCTTGGGGACAGTGAGAAAACTTTGGAGGGTTCTAAGCGGGAAGTGAGTAACTTGGCAACATGATGATATTTGCATTTTTAAAAGGTTATTCTCACTACAGGATTAAAGCATGTAAATGGTCAGTCCTAGAGGCAGGGAAACTGGACTAGAGATTAGAGGCAGGGAAACTGGACTAGAGATTGTTGCAGCCATCCACCTGTGAGATGATGGTGGCTTGAGCTAACCCAGATGAAATGAGAATGGAGAGAAGTAGATGGATTTAAGAGACAGTTGGAGGCAGAATAAATAGGATTTTAATGATTGATTATATGAGGAATGTGAGGGAAACAGAAAAGATGATTCTCAAATTTCAGCTAGACGTGGGGAGCATAGAAATGACACAAGTTTATAGAGAAGGTTTTTAGTATAGTGTTGGATTGGTTGAGTTTGAAGTGTCTATGGTACATCTAAAAGGAAATGACCGTTAAGCAGTTGGCTTTGTGGCTCTGCAGAGAAATTTAGGGCAGAGATAGACATTAGGGAACAAGAGCATCTAGATGGCAGGTGAAGCCATGCATATGGACCTTAGTAAGTTATTATAAAATTTCTAAGATCGAAAATGCAAATAAATTGTGTTCATTGTCTAATACCCATGACATTATTAGGAAATTCGTCTTTTAGTGTTAAAGCTTGTATTTGTACAAAACATTTTCATAATCTGTTTTAGTTCTTAGTAGTTTGCTTTTTGATCAATATTATTTAGACTTTTAAATTTGTTTTTTTCACATTATCCAGGTTTTTGCTTTAACTATAATATATGTCAGCTATAGAAATAAATATAGGAAAATGAAGTTATTATAGAATTTTGGGGATTTAAGTAATATAGATATACTTGTTAGGATTTAGCAAGTTAGGAAAAAGGTAAAAACACCTAGGTTTATATAGTTAGGCTTTCCCAATTCCAGAAAATAATATGTGTAGAAAATACTTTTAGAAAAAAGTATGTATATTTTTAATAATTTCAATAGAAAATATTTTATTATTCACTTTTTCCTTATTTTCAGCAACAGAGATACTTAAAATCTTATAAATCAAATAATTTAGATGTATGTATAATGTAAATATTTTCAGACCTACATATAGGAATATATAATAAATAAATTTTTTTAGCGTTACACTGTTTTATCATAAGACCACTATAACTTTCTGCTATGCAATTCTGATATACTTAGATGTATTTTAATATTTCAGGTATACCTAGAATGTTTCTGTTCAAAAATGTGTTTAATATTTTGCTTCAGAAGATTATAGTAGCAGTTAAGCTCAGCAGTACTTTGCTAATAGTGTAATACTAACTTAATCTCTAATTTTAATTTTCAGTGTAGTTCTTTTGTATTGCTTTTATTTTGAATGAGCTATAACCATCTTATGCTATGTAGGGAGCATATAATTTAATTGTTGATTACTGTGATCATGACTAGATACAATATGTAACATATGATATTTGTTTTCTTTATAGGAAAATGGTTCTCCTGAAGAACATGCAATCTATGTTTGGGACCATTTTATAGCCCAGTCTGCAGCTGAGAATGTATTTTTTGTTGCTCACAGCTATGGAGGACTCGCTTTTGTTGAACTGGTAAGTACACATTTAACTCTATTTTTAATTCTCAGTCTCCTTACACAGTATCCCCTCTACTCCCTTTTCCTTTGTATTACTTTATTTTATAAAGGATGAGAATAAAATGTTTTGAGTAAATAATTTTATTATGTTTGAAAAGAGTATATTAAATTATTTTATGGTGACAAAGCTTGTCAGTGCTAACCAGAAGGCTTTTTGCCTGTTTCTTATTTACATATTATGTTTTAATTTCTACATTACAGTACCAGTTTCTGTATGTTTCATGATATTTATGTTTCCTGTTTTATGTATGCACCACTGAAACTTATGTTATCTGTAAAGTGTTTAAAATTTCAAGAGACTCCTTGAATATTTGGGAATATTTTGATAATTTTTAACTGTTATCTCCAGTTAGTTAGTACTTGGTACTTAATCAGAATTTATATAATTAGCATTACGACTATCAGAAAGCTTCTATTAATCTGCTTGTAACTAGAATGCATTGCTTGGCCATAAAAATCTTTGAATTTCAAAATAATCTGATTCTTGGAGTTAAGATTATGTGTACATAATAGAAAAAATTAACAAAATTTTCAAATTTTGTCTGTTTTATATGCAGTGTTACGAGTATCACAATCTTGTACCAGTATGGTTAATATGATATAATCAATACTAAAAATGCACTAATGAAGAATTTGTGCCTTCATGTCCATAATCCTTATGTTACAGGAATGTACCAGTGCTATAATGATTAATTTGATAAAAGTGCAGTTGATATTAATAATTTTAAATTTAAATAGATCATAGTGGACATTAAAAGCAGGCATAGCACTAATTGTCTAATTTTTATGTTTCTAGACTTTGGTGTATATTTCTCTTTGTCATGGAAATTAAATATTATTTTGTGGCCTTTCAACCTCCCTACACCTTATTGCTTACCCACATGATTTAGATATAAAACTGGTGGTGACACCTGACACCTGAGGATACTTTAGTTGACGTAAATCTACAAATGCTTGCTTGTACTCTCTTAAGATCAATAAATAGTTAAATCGTTTATTTTCTAAATTGATTTCACTTTTAGGCATTATTTTCAAGTACTTTTAACTTTGCTGTATTAATTTATTTATTTTGATATATATAATGGATATCTTAAGATAGCTCTTTAACACACTAGTGTGATGTACTTTTAAAATATGAATGTTGTTTTTCAAATAATTCTCTTCAATCCCTACAGATATAGATATATAGCTATATAGATATATATATCTGTATCTCCATAGATATATATAGTTTATTTTTTCTTTGTAAGCCGTTAAATTACTTAAAACATGAAATTTCTTGACTTGTAGAGTGACTTAAAATATGTCTAAAATCCTCCAAGGCTAATCAAATTTCAGAGTTCTGTAAACCATAAATTCCCTTTTTTACTTTTTTTTTTTTTTTTTACTTTAAGACAGTTTATAAAAAACCTTTGTACACCAAATTTGGAATTTAAGTGTATTTTCGACAGTTTTAAAAATGAACTTAAGATGCCAGGGTTAACAGATGACCAATGTGTCAGTCCTGTTTTGCCCGTCCTTCTTGTCACACACTGGTGGATATTTCTCCACTTTTGTTCCACTTTAATATAAAGCACACAGATGTTTCAGAACAAGACTTGACTTCTGACCTTGAGGCTATTAGGGTCAGGGTCCTCAGGGCCTGTGAAATTATCACAAGCTGAGCTAAAATTTTTCTCCATCACAGGAAGTAACCAGTAAGTAAGAAGTTAAAAAGGAGCTTTGTCAGAGAGACAAGATGGTCTCAGTAAGGGTCAGCTTCTGTAGTCTGCTATCTCTGCAGGAGGCACATGCATGGGAGGAGGAATATAATATAACCACTGGCACATCACATATCTGTCAGGCAACGCCAGGGCTGAGAAGTCTATTTAATGTAGTATATGGTGTTTAGATTTTAAAATATTAATGGTGACTATCTCAACTTCTTATATTTTCTACTTTTTGTGAAATAACTTTGGGGTATGCAATGGAAGCAGACAGACGGTGGCAACTGAAGAAGGGGGAGCTAATAAAATGGATTCCTCTAAGCAAATAACAATGTACAATGATGAGTTTTACAGTAATTTTTTATAAATTTGGTTCATATATTTAAATTTACTATGTTTCTCTTTCAAAAGGCTTTTTAAAAGATAGCATTGTTAAAGGAACAATAAACATTGAAATGTTTTTAAGCCTTTTGCTTTTGCCTAAACTGAAAGTACTTTTTCCTATTCGTACCAGTGTTCTAAGGGGAAAATATTGACAAATATTCATTCTCTCAGGATTTTCAGGCTAAGTGTAATATATGAAATTGTTTTACATGGATTCAAAATTTTAATATTAACCTTACAAGAAAGTGAATTGTGAATATATAAATCTTAAATTATGGTTTAGTTTCTTGTCTCAGTAGCATGTTGTATACATCAGATATTAAATTATTTGGATTTCAGTAAAGTTAAAATTTTTTTTATTGTAAGATTTTACTCCTGATTAAAGACTCTACAAACACACACATATTTCTATGGTTTAGTTTCTTGTCTCAGTAGCATGTTGTATACATCAGATATTAAATTATTTGGATTTCAGTAAATTTAAAATTTTTTTTATTGTAAGATTTTACTCCTGATTAAAGACTCTACAAACACACACATATTTCTTAGAGAACAGTCTTAGTTATAGCATCATGTTTGAATGCATAGAAATCATTTTTCTGCCACTATTATACAAGTTCACATTCTTCTTTAGGTCATGAATTTCAAGAAAATTTATGTTAAATATAAACTTTGTAGCAAGTACAGTTTCACCAGTAAATGCAGTTACTTATAGTTATTATTGTTTGAATAACAGGTGAGGACCTATGATGAAATGTATCTTGCCATTTACTAAAATTGAAGTTTTATATAATTATAGTTTAAAACTAAATGTGCTGCTAATAGGTATATGAAGATAGATTACTTTTAAATTTAGAGCACAAAATAGTTATAGAGCTTTAATATTTTGCTAATTGTTGTTTTTGAAAACTGAGGCTATAATTTATGATTATATCCTATCTTAAAGTATTGGATTTCTCCTGAAGAATACCTTATAGTCAGATTTATTTTCACAACCAGTGTTCATTTTATGGTAGTAAATCTTAGAACTTGACCAGATCTAACCCTATAAAAACAGTATACACTTCACTATAATGAGAAAAGTGATATTAAAAATGTTCTTTTCACTGCTTTTTACTCTCATCATGTGTTAACAACTCAAATTTCCAATTCTCTAAACTTTCTGTGTGCCTAGTAAAAATAGGTAGTGATAAGACAACTCTGGTATCTATTCCAGAATTCAGTCATTAGAGACAAAAGGAAAGTACTGTTTATCTTATGAATACATAATGAATTTTCAAAATTAATATGTCTGCCTATGTTATCTTTTCTTTATATTTAAAATAATGCCAGTATGTAAAGTTAACAGTTATTAAACTATCATTTACAAAGCCTTAACTTTCTAAGTTTATTTTTACTTGATAGAATTAATAATCATAATTAGAATGCATTTACCAAATTCATTTGCAAAGACATCTGCAAATAATGCAGCTTACTTTTTACCATATAGTAGTAGTTAAAAATTCAGGCTCATTTTTTTGAAAGTTAACTGTCATTTTAAAACAATGCAGTTTTGGACCTTTTTCATCATCTCTTTTCTCTGACCACTTTGATGAAGTGATAACATTGCTTCCATTGTTGGCCATTTCAGAGTGCTTTGCTCTTCTCTTTCTAGGTGATCAGTTTGGCCAAACCAAGTAACCTTAATTTTTTTTTTTTTTTTTATTTGGAAATGAGCAGTCTTTCCTTGTCAATGCCCAGTTACTGATCTCAGCTCACCTTCCCTTCCCTTTTTGCAGTGCTCAATAAATCAGTTTGCATTGATGTTTCTTTCTTTAAGCCAAAATGAGAGTGTTCATATTTTTTTATAAAACAGAAACAATTTTAATAAGCATATTTCATTAGTTTGTTGAGTCACCTCAGCTGATGTAAAATTAGTATTTTTCTTATTACTTTTATTTCCTTTTCCATGTTATTAATGGTATGTTCACAACCACCATTAAAAACATTACTTAGAAATGTGTGAAAACAGCCCCTTTTGAAAGTGTATCTCTACCCACTTTTGATTTTAGTCTTTCCATGCTTGTCAGCACTTGATTGGCACCTCACTTGCATGTGAATTAAGGGATGAAGGGAACTCTATTTTCCTGCCATTGTTCCATGCTGGGCTCCCTGGCCTCCAGGCAGCCTAAGCTGCCCTTCAGCAGCTGATAGAGAACTAGTTTTTGGACATAGCTATATGAGGACACTCAACCTCAGTCTACTCTTAGTAGATCTTTTTAAATTGCCTGGAGCATGATTTGGATTTACACTGAAGAAAAAATGAAATGGAACTAAAATAATTAGTTTTTACCTTTAGTGACATCAGCTAACTATGACCTTAAAGAAGTATCATTTATATTTTGCCCACGAAGAACAAAGTAAATTGGATATGGGTAGGATATCTGCTTAATGTGATCAATGAAAATAGCTGAAAGTTGGGCTGCTGAGAATCAAGAAATAAAGGGAGGTAAAATAAGGGAGGTAAAAAAAAGAAAAATTGCATTAAAATAGTATCAAAATAATTCCAGCCAAAAACACTATTACAAACCTACTTTAAAATCTAGGTAATTCAGTAAAAATAAGTTGCCTTTTGTAACATAAGTACAAGATACATACTAATTAGTTTTGTTTTAAAGGGCTCTTTTATCTCTAAGTTTTGTTTTGCCTAAGTAATCTAAAAACAACATGGTATTTCTCTTACTCCCTCAAGTTTGAAAACTCTATATAACAACATGATTAGTTTTAAATATCTGCATAGTTAGTTGACTAATGTATACAGTTTAAGCCTTAACAATAACTCTTTTATTAACTAAACATTAATTCTCCCTGCTCTCTATTTAAATAT